TATTGAATTTTTTGTAGAAATGGTTATTTTTTTGTAGAAATATCTACGAAATAGTACCACAAATTACAATGTTCTCAAATCAAGAAATTATTGCAAGTAGTATTTTATGAAAAACTACAATTTATAAAAAATAGTACAAAGATCTACAAATTTTAAAAATTTAAGAAGAAACAAAATCTTAAAAAGTTAAAACATCTGCTTACTTGTATAGAATACTACAAAAATTTACAAAAGTGTTTCAATTCTAGCATTTTTATGTAGGATTTTGTAGTACTTCTTAAATTCATGTAAAATTTAATAGATTCTGGCAATTATATTTTATATTTTTTTAAATTTTGTAGAAATATTTCCGCCAGGGTTATAAAGGTCAATCCAGACAAACTTGCATAGCGCATAAACATAAACATAAGAGAATTGATTGGTCCATATGCATGTGCATAAGAAAATAGATCAATCCGTTTCTTTATGCATATGGTTATGCACCTATGCAAGTTTGTCTGGATAGACCTTAACTGACTGACAGCGCGCTGAACGCACTGACTGCACTGAGCGCAGTACGCACACGTCAATATATATTGATATATCGACTCGAATAAATTTACTCGCTGGGTTGATAATATAGCAACACTGTCATGGAGGGAATCCGGGGGGACGCTCGACATGTTCTCAAATGCCATCTATCGAGGCAAAAAGCAACCGTACGTACGGCGACGTTTCTTAATTGGAAAATTCACTACTTCAGACTTTGCATCGTAATATCTCCTCTCGTAGGGCACGTAGCGGAAAAATAAAAACACTCTTATTTGTAAATCAACCCAAGCTATCGATCAAGCCTACTTAGCACTTGATCCGTTCACTCGTTATTGAGATCTCAAAATCTCGGGTACTCGCAACTCGTACGTTCGCGTAAAAGAGTCACGGTGCGTCTCGCTCCGCGCGTACTTGGCGCGAGACACTACCGTGTCTCTTGATGTAATCATATATTCCAGCAAACACAGATATATAACGATTATATTGCCAGTATATAACAAAATGTAACACGCAATATAACACGATCGTAACAGTTATATAGACGTTAGTTGTAATTTTCCACTATATATAATATAAATATAGATATATAATATAAATATAGCGGTGTTATATAACATTTATATAGCAGTAATATAATTTAAAGCATTATTGTAATATAACTGCAGTGTAACCGTTCTCTTACATTTTATTGTATATTAATTAATTTATAATTTGCCTTTTGTACATACTAATTCCAGAAAAGGTTTTTAAATTAATTCTAAGCAAAAACAAACTGTTTTATTTGCTTTTGCTTGAAATTAATTTAAAAACCTTTTCTGGAATTAGTATGTGCAAAAGACATACATGTTTTTGCGTAGAAAAGGGACAAATATAAATATTTAATAATAATTTTATTAGAAATATTATTGCAAATTTTTTTCAAAGTATACATATATTTGCTTATAAAATTCAATTAATTACGAGGGTTGTTCAATAAGTCCTTAAAGTTGCATACAAATCAATTACAAAAAACGAATCAAGATTGTTCGAGATTCCGTTAACGTTGCGCCGTCCGATCAGATGGCAGCATCGATCGGGTATCGACGCCCGATCACCGCGACAGCTGGCGCACGCACGGGCGCGCTCATCGCCAACGTCTTCCTCGCGATATTCAGAGTTGTACAAATGGCCGCGCAGTGATCAGACGCACGACGTGTGCTCTGTGCATTTTGATTGTGACTACACATTGAAGTGCCCACCGCAGTGATTACAGCTGCCGAGATACTGCATTAACATGTAAAGCGACCGCTCATCCAGCTCTACTCGGGTACATCAACACGACGACTTAGGCTCACATGTGCGCGAGTGCCGACCGCCACGTGTCTTACCGGCTCACGGGCTAATCATCACGAGGAGGGCAATTAATATAACTGCCTCGCCCACTCACAAACGATATACAAAGACTTCTTATGTTTAGTGAACTCCGAAAGACTGCCCACCACTCTCAGGTCAGACTGTATATATCTATTCTCGTATTAAAGACGGCTCAGACTGTGTTCTGAGTTACATTTTATACTACAGAATAATTAATTAACACCTTCCACGCGCGTTCTTCTCATCCCGCTTCCATCGCCGGGATTAATCAGCGATTTCGCGAACATTTGGTCCTTCGAGCCGGATGCGTGGAACTTAAAGTGTAGCTCGGACACAGATCATGTGAACAGGGCATGCCTTTCACGACATGCCACGTGGACATTATCGCGCGCTTCCGCAAGTGAAGTACAGACATTCTCACGCGCGCTCGTGAGTGTTACACAAACATGTTCACGCGCTCCCGCGAGTGTAAATAGACATTTTCACGTGCTCAATACATGATCCTAACGATTCTCGATTCGCATAGTGTTTTTCTCACGCGTCTCTCGAACGTTCTCGGTTCGTGCAGCATTTCTTACACGTGCCTCGACATTTCTCAGGTATTTCATCGTGCGCAGCTCAGGGACGGCTCAACATGACGGAACCCGCAAAGGCGGGTACGGGCGGTACGGAGACCACGACGCCGCTGCTCGAGGTACCACCGGCTCGCACATCGGAACGCCAAGCCTCACCCGTGCGCTTGTCCACGGAGCTCATCCTAAATGAACCGACTGGCGACGGTGCGGAATACTGGCGAGACGCCACCATCTTGTGCAAAGGACACGTCATTAGAGAAGATTTTCTACATCTCAATGCATCTCGAGAAGGTGCATAAAGCGTTTCTCAAGGAGCACGCATATTTTGAAGTTACTTGGCCGGCGGCGCTCATACAACATGAATGCTTAAAAACAATGTTCACTCCACGACGGAGCTATTACATGACTGCACGTCGCATTATTGCGTTATCAAGAACGCATATCCAAACCATCGCAGTCCCCGCGTGACAATCAGCGGCTGCCGGACATCAACATCCCGTCGTTCAAGGGCAATTACGCTGCATGGCCCACGTATCGCGACCTATTCAAGGCCGTTATCTACGACAACCGACGCCTCACCGACGTGGAAAACCTTCATTATCTGCGACTCTCACTTGAAGGCACACCCGCTCAGCTCATCTCCGGATACAATGTCCGCTCATGCAAGAGCTCACGGGGGTGCAAGAAGTGCACCAACCGACACCACACGATGCTGCATGAGGCTCATCAGTCGAGCTCATTAGCGAAGCCAACCACCAGCTCAACTGCGACAGCTCAATAGGAAAATGGTGCAATCGTTGCTCACTTCTCTTTGGCCCGCTCACCACACTCAACATTACTCGCTACGGCCCTGGCTCAGATCAGCTCATCAATTAATACTCAGTGGGTACGGCTTCTCATCGATTCAGGTTCAGAACTTACATTTGTTTCAGAATCTCTCGCTCGTCAGCTCAACATTACTCGTCATCATTCCGTTATTTTCATCACTGGAATTGGTGGCGGAAAGGCGACGCAGACTCGAGGAGTTGCATTGCTTAAGCTCCGCTCACTTCACTCAAGATCAGACGTCATTATTCAAGCTCACATTCTGCAGACGTTAACGAACATCTTGCCACCCTTCAACGCTGCACCACAGGAATGGCCGCATCTCACCAAATTAGCCTTGGCTGATCCAGATTTTCTGACACCACGGCCAGTGGATATTATCATTGGAGCTGACTCATATGGGCAGATCATCAAGCCCAACATCATCAAACGAGATACATTGATGCCAATTGCGCAGCTCTCAATCTTCGGATGGTTCGTGCTCGGACCTGTCGACACATCATCATCGGCATCTGCTGCAGTGCATCATGCATCGATTCAGGAGAGGAAAGATGCTCTCGACGAGTTACTGTCGAAATCTGGACACAAGAAGAAGTGCCTGCGAGCAACAATCTTGATCTTACTCCTGACGAGAAAAGATGTGAAGAACATTTCAAGAGTACTGTTTCACGGGATTCAACAGGTCGATACACAGTTCGACTTACACTGAAATCATCACTTGATACTCTTGGCGATTCGTATCTCATTGCGCATCGATATTTGAAAAGTTTACAAAGAAGACTCTCACGAGATGACAACTATCGACGTCTGTATTATCAGTTTATGACAGAATATCAAGAGCTCAATCACATGAAGAAGGCTTCACCCGTTTCCAGTCAGCACACACAATATTATTTGCCACATCACGGAGTGCTCAGACCAGACAGTGCAACCACAACATTACGCGTGGTATTTGATGGCTCGAATGCATCTGCATTACAGCACCTAGACATCAGATGTTTTGCTCTGGATTCGACCACTTCGACACTTAGTTGCCACTGACATCACCAAAGGGTATAGGCAGATCAACGTGAAGATGACTGAAATTTACAACGGACTCGCTGGATAGATGAACAACTCAATGAAGTGCCATATCAGCTAACAACGATCGATATGTTGATGACAATTCTGGAGGCGACAACACCGTTCAGCAGGTACTAGAATTCAATACTGCTCAACGGACTTGTGCATGGCGGGCGGCTTCCCATCAGCAAGGTGGCACGCGACTCATCAAGACGTACTCACTGCGGTTCAAGCAGAAAAAGACCAGGGCTCACAAATTACATTTGACGATTGCGTAACCAAAAGACTCGGATTACGATGGCTTCCTCAAGAAGATTCATTCACATTCTTAATAAGGATCTCGTCGCACACCGATCATCTCACCAAACGCCTTGCTTGGTCTGAAGTGGCTCAGATACTCGATCCACTGATCTTTGCATCACCTGTGGTGATCAAGGCGAAGATGCTCTTGCAAGAGTTTTGGCTACATGAAGCTCCAATGGGATGAACCACTGCCATCCCAGCTCTCATCACGGTGGCTCATTATCAGAAAAGAACTCACAAGCTTGCAAGCTCTCAATACCTCGGTAGTACAACCAAGGTAGCACCTCTCAAACTACATGGAGCACCTCGTCAGTGGAATTTCACGGCTTTTCTGATACTTCTCAACTGGCAATGGCTGCAGTCGTATTGATCACCGTCTACGGCTCTAATGGCGCCACGATTTCATTGGTGTGCTCCAAAACAAAGGTAGCACCGCTCAAGCGGCTCACCATCCCGAGACTTGAACTCACCGCAGCACTGCTGCTCTCAAGACTCATGCAATACGTTCAAGCCACATTGAAGTTGAACGTCACAGCAACTCACCTGTGGACGGACTCTGTTGTGACACTCACGTGGATCAAATCTCATGCACCGCGCTGGAAGGATTTTGTGAGAAATCGAGTTTCTCAAATTCAAGAGCTCACTGCGAACGCACATTGGAAATACGTACCAGGTACGTCCAACCCAGCCGACTGCGCATCACGAGGATTAAGTACTGCTCAACTCCAAAGCCACTCATTATGGTGGACGGGACCACCGTGGATACTCACCCCTGAAGCATGGCCATCACAACCCGCACTTTCGGACGAGTTGAGCGCGCATGAGGCTCGTCCTGGCATTGCGCTACATGCGGCCGCATCTCAACCGGACTATCACTGGGACCTGATATATAGGTACTCAATTCTCAATAAATTATTGAAAATAACAGCTCTTTGTTTCAGATTCATATCGCTTCTGAGAAAGCGCCGATACAAGCCACTGGACTTGCACTCAGTTTTGGAGGAGGCCAGATTATTCTGGATCAAGGCTACTCAAGCGGCATACTTCACGCAAGAGATCAAGATGCTCACGGCCAACTCGAGACTACCAACTGCTCACGCATTCAGTCGATTGACTGCGTACATAGACGCTCAAGGGATCATCCGAGTTGGCGGCCGCCTCAACCAATCAGCACTAGCTCAAGACAACAAACATCAGGCGATTTTGCCTCGCCACTCACGGTTCTCAACCCTGATCATTGCACACGCCCATCTGCGTACTTTGCATGGAGGAACACAGCTGACATTGGCTCATGTCAGACAAAAATACTGGATCATCGACGGACGGGCTCCGGTGAAGTATCATATTTTACGGTGTGTCGTGTGTGCTCGGCAGAGGGGGATCCGTGCTCATCAACTGATGGCCAACTACCTCTCTCTCGGGTTACACCGTCACGTCCGTTTACTCATACAGGAGTTGACTATGCCGGACCGCTCACCATCAAAACATGGAAAGGACGAGGTGCGAAAACATACAAGGAATGGATCTGTGTGTTCGTCTGCTTCTCCACCTCCGCAATTCACCTCGAAGTAGTCAGTGACTACTCATCAGAAGGATTCATAGCAGCCTTCCGAAGATTCTCAGCCAGAAGAGGAATTGCTCAGACCATGTATTCGGACTGCGGGACAACATTCATTGGAGCAGACGCCGCGCTCAAGAAAATGTTCATCCAGAGTTTCCAAGAATATCAACGATTCGCTCAAATTCTACAACATGATTGCACCAGATAGGAGTTCAACCCACCAGGCGCTCCACACATGGGGGGCAAATGGGAGGCGGTGGTGAAATCCGTGAAGTTTTATCTGAGACGGACTATCGGGGAGACTCTACTCACGACGGGAAGAACTCACAACGTTGCTTACGCAAATTGAGGCCATTCTCAACTCGCGGCCTTTAGAACCGTTGAGTGACGACCCTGAAAACGTCTCAGCGCTCATACCAGATCATTTCCTCATTGGAGGTCCAATCACTACCATACCCGAGCCATCTCTGATATTGACCTAGCAACCTCACGACTATCTCGGTGGCAGCTCATCCAGCAGCGTGTTCAACATTTTTGGGCATAATGGTCGGCTCACTATCTGCAACGCCAGCAGGCGATATCCAAGTGGCATCATCCTAACAACAACATCAAGATGGGCTCCATCGTGCTGCTCACCGACGAACGCTCTCCACCGTGCAAATGGCCACTCGCCAGAGTAACAGCTTTGCACCCCAGCAAGGATGGACTCACCAGGGTGGTTACCCTCAAGACGGCCACACGACACTCACTCGGCCAAGTGCCAAGCTTGCCATATTACCCATTTCAACCGGATAAAGGATCAAGAGTAAGGAATCATCAACAAGGTTGCTGATGGCGGGCGGAATGTTCGAGATTCCGTTAACGTTGCGCCGTCCGATCAGATGGCAGCATCGATCGCGTATCGACGCCCGATCACCGCGACAGCTGGCGCACGCACGGGCGCGCTCATCGCCAACGTCTTCCTCGCGATATTCAGAGTTGTACAAATGGCCGCGCAGTGATCAGACGCACGACGTGTGCTCTGTGCATTTTGATTGTAACTACACATTGAAGTGCCCACCGCAGTGATTACAGCTGCCGAGATATTGCATTAACATGTAAAGCGACCGCTCATCCAGCTCTACTCGGGTACATCAACACGACGACTCAGGCTCACATGTGCGCGAGTGCCGACCGCCACGTGTCTTATCGGCTCACGGGCTAATCATCACGAGGAGGGCAATTAATATAACTGCCTCGCCCACTCACAAACGATATACAAAGACTTCTTATACAAAGACTTCTTATGTTTAGTGAACTCCGAAAGACTGCCCACCACTTTCAGGACAGACTGTATATATCTATTCTCGTATTAAAGACAGCTCAGACTGTGTTTTGAGTTACATTTTATACTACAGAATAATTAATTAACACCTTCCACGCGCGTCCTTCTCATCCCGCTTCCATCGCCGGGATTAATCAGCGATTTCGCGAACAAAGATACTAAACAGATAAGCGGAATTTTGATTAATTGCATTGTATCCAACTTATCAGGCTATAACTGATGCATTTTAATCAGTCAAAACGTGTTTAGAAACAACCACATTAAAACATCATTTAATAGCGTTAATATACACCGCGATGTCTCTCAATATACGAAGGAAGATTAAAATCTATCTAGTGACTTGTTATGTGATCAGTATAGATATTACTCATATCTACGCCGTATTTTTGTCTTGAGCCTTATTTAATGTGTGATTAATAAATACAGAAAACAGTTGAAAAGATCGTTTTAATAAAGAATGTAAACGTTAAACATTAAAGCAGAAAATAACAATTAAGAAGAGAACGCAAATACGTATACATACATGGATCAGTTGCGCATAGTATGTGACTTCGTTTAAGGGCTGTTGTTGATTATTTCGCTTAGGGGCTGTTGCCCTGAGTAGTGAGAGCGGTAAGCGACGACGCCTAGGGAACTATCGCCCTGAGTCGCTACCTGATTGTTCGGATGCGACAGCGCCTAGAGGTGTAGACCTTGGGTCGCCTTGGCTTGACACACACTTTATTTTATGTTCACAATTATGTCCTTTGTAAAGAATTTAAATGTTCATCTCGAAGGAAAGGCAAAGTCTCGAGCGATTCTTCGTGGCCACGTAACCGACATGTATACATCGAAGTAACGAAGAATAATCGAATATCGGCCGTGACAACGAAGGATCGAAAACGCCGGAGCCACATCTAGCGAGCATTGAAACTCGTCCCTAAGATACCGAATTATTTATTTGTACTGTCACGACTTTTTGCACTCCCGGACCGCTCCGGGACGTGTGCCGGATCAAAAGGGCTTAGGAGAGCGGGATGGTAGGCCTCTCCAGTGATTTCCTCGCACCTCCGATACTCCACGAAATATTCCAAATGTTGGGCGCCAGACGCGTGCATTCGCGTCCACGAAATCGCGAAAACCTAAACGAGACGCAAAACGAAGTGTGGAGGTGCGTGGAATCGGCTAGCTTGACCTAATCACGGGCGGGGTTAATGAAGGGCAGCGCTATATTCGGCGGGGTGACACGTTAATTTCATACTCAGTCAGATAACAAAGAAAATAACATTTATTGAGTACTGGTTGTTGAGAAAATAATAACATTTATCCATCCGGCTTCGATCAAACACAAGATAACTTCGATAAATAAATCAGGAATAGCCGGTGGCGGGGTGTCGGGATTCATTTAACAGAAATAATATTAATGCGGACGCGAGACATCCACGGAGCATTAATCGAGTCTCTAATAAACACGCTGAAGGCGATATTCTCAAACAATTAATAATTCGAGTCGAAAGTGATAATACGCAAGAATACAACTCTTAATATCGCTAATAACCACGGAACGCCATGAAGAACTACGCAAGTAACATCTAAACGCAAGAAACGCGTGAACGCCGGTAATTTCTTGACAAGAGTACAAGTCTAACATAAATAATCAATCGGCGGGAACGACATTCGACCGCGACTAACAATGCCATCGACGTCCCAACGCAAAATTCAAGGCTATCGCGAGCAGGGACGCCATAGGACGCAACGCAAGTAATATTGGACGCAACGTTTCTTAACGCAAGAACACAATTATTAACCCGTAATAACAAGATCCGAACACCAATCGATACGCTAACACCGACGCTCGAACACAAGAATTTCCCGACGCGAAGAAACGGTAACGCAATTGACGAAATACCGGCCCATATGCGGCCGTACACCAAGGTCGCGAGGACAACGCAATATATTCGCGATATCGAACTCCCTATCGCGATCTCCAGGGATTCGCCATAACGCTTGTACCACGGTTCCGCGGCCACGATACCATCCCGAGGCCCTTCGCTCTCGTTATCGATCGCGAAATTACACTCGATCTTAACATGCGTTATCCCGAGCGAGAGCGTGCACCGGAGGGCGGTGTCGTGACTTTACATATTATCGCGATTTACGGGCAACCTCACCGGTGATACACCTCCTCCTGGGCTCCTCGCCGTCATCTTCCACCAACGATCCTCGATCCGCCAGACAATTATCGAAATACCCGACTCGGGGTGGCTATCGCGTATCTTACAAAACGTATCTCGCCGACGGACGACCAGAGAGTGAAACGCTAAACCCGCTCGATTGCGGAATCGATACGGTACCCCTTCCTGAGGGGCGCGCGAGCCAATCGGGCGCGAGCTTGCAAGCCCGCGGTGTCCCGGCGCAGTGCTGTCGATACGAGATCCTTCGGAGGCGGGCAACGGTCCCTCGGCGGCGTGCGACTCCTCAAATTTTTGTCTGTAGCGGCGGACGGAACTTTGCTCGTGCCGGTGTGCCTCCGGTTTGACCCTGGGGCGGTGGCCAGCCACCCCGTGGGTCGGTGTTTTGTAGAGATCATTTGCTGAAGCCGGGTGTTTACCCAAGCTCTTGGGGCCCCGCTATCGGCGGCCTCGTCCGTCGCTGCCGCATGTGCCGCCCGCCTGCCGCGCTGCTCTCGCCAGCCCGCGATCTCTGCTGCTTCCGCGTTTGCCACCCCTCCTTGGTTATCGATCGTCCTTGATTTCCTTCGCCAAATACTCCCTCGAAGGCTTGCCGTGGTGTGGGTGAGGTGCCGCGCGTATTACATTGCATAAAAACAAAAGAAAGTAATCAGAATGCGGAAACGCGATTAAATACGACCCCTGGAGATCTCGTCGTTGCCTCCCTGGTCCGTCCCTGGGCGCGAAATTTCGCGCCTTGTGACGGCGGCGGGGCGCCGCGACGGTGCGGCGAGCCGCAACGTCACAGTACATATAATTAATTGATGCACCTATAGGTGAATGTGTGTGTATGTGTCTGAGCCATCCGACAATCTCTCTTATTCGCTTTAGTTATGTCGTGCACGACGCATGTGTTTACTACATAACAGACTAAAGCTTGTTGGAATGACCGCTATAATTAATGTGAACCATCAAACGCATCAACCGTATCAAATGCATTAATTAATGTACACTGATATACAAATATATGTCGAAAGTTTCATTCCTACCGTGTTATTTTTAATGGTTGATTCTTCAGCCAATTTAAAGATGGTTTTTTTTCTTATTAAAAATATTGAATTTGCATATTTGTATTTTCCACAATTTTCCAATATTATATGTCGCAGTACACGAAATTAAAATTTTACTAAAATCTACTTGAAATTATTGTAAAAGTATGATTTTATCTATTTAGATGATATAAATTTAACTGTCTATTATTTGTTGTTAATTTAAAAATTATAAAATATTTTCATTGAAAGGTAAACTCCAAATTGACTAAAGAACTTGTTAAAAATGAACACGGTAAGAATAGATTCTGTGTATCTCCATAAAGAAAAAAGTTTTTACTGGAGATCCATGTCTCTTTCTATTTAAGTGTTGTGCCAAATAGTAGCGTGTGCCTACGAACTTCGTCTAACATTCGTAATTAAATAGATTAATGTTACAAAGCGTTAATTGAATCCCATGGCCTTTATCTTTACATATTCATAGAGCATTACATTCTCGAAGTGCTAAGCATCCGAAAGTATGTCGGTCGTTGTGTCTTCTTCTCCTAATGTGAGTGGAGTGACTAGTCGCATGTTAACCGATACGTACATACAGAGGATAACGTAACTGTTTGTCCAGAGTCATTATCTCGTGCTGAAAATATTAATACGTAACGTAATGCGCACCATATAAATTATATAAGAACACATGCCGTCGTTTTCAATGCTAACTTACTTCTGTGTTTCTCCTCAAACGTAATCTTAACATACGCGAGTCTTGGACATGTTTTACTTGACGTTGTTCATTCAGTGAAAATAGACTCTAAAAAAAATTTCATATTTCTGTTATTAACTTTGATCTAAAAGTATTGAATCAATCAACTGATAATCTAAAGCTTACTTTATTAGAATTTTATGCTCTTTGTGATTTGCCTTGATATGCTCATAGTCTAGTCTGTGGTTTCTTTCAATCCGCAGGCTAGTTGTGTCTAAAGTCATTAGTAAATCTAGTCCATAATGGAATGCCTTTCATCTCCAAATGTGTTCGCCTGGCTTCTCGACACATCTGCCGCACCGAAAGCACTCCTTGGAAAATTTCTCTTCTGTCATTTGCGCCGAACTGCACGTGGAGCAGAAAATACGTAGTTCCGTCTATATTGATTCTATTAAAAAAGAAAAATTTAATTGTAGCATTTGTAGACTACCCTCTGTTTTTATTTTCATCCATTCTTAACAAGTGAAGCCACTGTTCTCTGTAAGCACCGTGCAGCCAGTCTGGTGGTATTAAATTATCACTGTATAAGATCTTGTCGTCGTGTTAATGTAACAG